AACAAAACTGTGAGGATAGTAAGGTTTAAAACGAACAATATAAAACAAGTTGTGATGGGCTATTACAATTAGTACTTTGAAACATGTTTTCATTGCATCATACTCTTCTCGAACTTATTTTGACTTTACATGATTTGTTGTTAATGTTTTTGTGAATTTTGTGGTCATGTGATTATGAGGTCCACATAAACTAGTATAAGAGGGAATATAATAAATTAATTTAAAATAATAGGATTAATTCTTACATTAATCTACATCTTTCGATATATATTCTATCAATAAATACTACAATGATGGCAAAAGCTATATAGGATAATAACAACAGAAAAATAAAATAAAATAAAATAAAATAAAAAAATGAAAGTTTGAATGAGCAAATAAGATTGTGAATGTGAACCCTAAATTTATAATTTTATTTTTAGAAAAATAAAATATATGGTGATTTTTTTTAGAGGTTTACAAAACTTTTAAATAGATTTAATTTTTTTTTATCTCTATTAGGAAACAACTAGGAATTAAAAAATATAAAGAAAATAAATAAAAAATCCAAATTAAAACATAGTGTAAAAAAACATAGGAAAAATAGTAAAAACCGTCATACGAGGAGCATTAATGCTCAATACACAATTCTAAAAGATTTATCAGCCTATTTAGCGACGTGGTGATTCCCCCAAGGAAAATCACATGTAGGCATTCCCTAATTCGAACCTTTTCTGCATGTGAAAAAAGGCAGAAGAAACTTCTTGTTACTTAACATACAAGCACAATATTTTTCACATATAAAAACACTTGCACGATGGCGTCTACCAATACAAACCCCGTCCGATTCATGGAACCATTCTTCTTCGAAGTCTTCGTTATTTTCTTTTATTGAACTCTTCTCCTTCTCCTTCAAGATCCTCGTGCTATTTGCGTCAAATTAAGACAGCACCATTCTATTATCAAATATTTTATTTATATTCAAATATACAACAGGTTGGTGTATAAATCATAAATGATCATCGAGAACACAGAAAGAGATCATAGATAACATATTAGAGGCAAAATGGAGAATGAAATCTGCAACTTGATGAAGGTATGGTCCTCAGTCTTCGCTTCTGTGTGCTATTGCTATGCTATTGGTAAGGTAGTTCCGAAAGGAACTCGAAGACTTATCTTCTTGCTCCCGATCGTTTGCCTCTTTCTTTACCTTCCTCTTCATCTATTCGCCATTCATTTCAGAGGCCCCACAGCTTTTTTCATTGCCTGGCTTGCAAATTTCAAGCTTCTACTCTTTGCTTTCGGCAAAGGCCCTTTGTCTTCAGATAATCCATCCATCCCTCTGCCACAGTTTGTGGCTGTAGCTTGTCTACCCATCAAGATCCAACACAACGTTAATGACTCATCTCCAAAATCACATATACATTCCCAGAAGCTTGAAGATGGTAAAAGATCATCTCCAAATTATGGGGTCAAGACTCTGCTTTTGGCTATATTGGTGAATGTTCATAATTATAGTGACTATATCCATCCAAAGGTCGTTTCCTTGCTTTATGTCATGTACTTGTATATCCAACTTGAAATATTACTAGCCATAGTAGCAACCATGGCTAAAGTGTTGTTAGGACAAGAGTTCGAGCCACAGTTCAATGAGCCCTACCTCTCCACTTCATTACAAGACTTCTGGGGTAGAAGATGGAACCTCATGGTTTCAAGTATCCTTCGACTTGCCGTTTATGAACCGACCGGCAACATAGCCTCTGGTCTTGTGGGCAGAAAATGGGCTCGAATTCCAGCAGTCATGGGGACATTTTTCGTCTCAGGTATCATGCACGAGCTCATGTTCTTTTACCTAGGGCGTGACAAACTCACAATGGAGTTGACTTGCTTCTTTCTCCTCCATGGACTGTGTCTCATAGCTGAGAGTGTTTTGAAGAAGTGTTTTGGCGGCAGGTGGAAGTTGCCGACGGTGATTTCTGGGCTACTGACAACTGGGTTCGTGATGTTGACGGGGTATTGGTTGTTTTTACCATCAATGTATAGCTGCAAGGTTTTTGAAAGGGCATCTGCAGAGTATGCCCAGTTAGTCACATTCATAGAAAATATAATTCCTCGTCATTAGAATTTGTTTGGTTCATAGAATATCGCTTTTAGGTGGTGCTATGGATTATAAAATTAATCAGTGGCACATGCAGGCCGGTTCAAGGTTTGAAAGTTTTCTTTTATTTATACTACAGAAACAATGGGCCATCTAGATGATGGCAGAAACAGTATACAAGAACTCAGCAAACCAAAATCCCACCAGTGCTAACAAATCATCCTCTCTGTCAAATACTCTGTTTTACCAAGGCTATGGCCATTTAGGTTTGGCAGTTTGTTACTTATTATTTATTAAAAAAAATGAAATCATGTATTTTAAAGAAATTATTAGGTGCAATTTCCTTTGTATAAAAATAAGTTACATAAAAAAAATTTGCTGTGAGAAAAAATCAGATGAAGTAGATATATATCATTGGAAAGAAAAGAAAAAAGGTTACCTCACCTCGAGCGAGTTGATGTACTATAATTTTTCGCGTGAGAGTATAATTTAATTAGTGACCAAACTATTGTTTAAATTGGCACAGCTATCATTAATTATAACTCGAAGGTCAATGCTTTATGATGAGAAATCTCACCAAAAAAATACAAGAGAAACTGGTTAGAGATATGATTTCAAAAATCTTAGTAGCTTGAGTTCAAGATTTATGACTTTTTATGATTGGTATCTAGTTTTTAGTAAGTTAAGATTATTGATGGCTGAAACTTGTAAAATATTTTTTTTTTATGAATTTAAAGATTTTTTAATGTTTAAATAAATATTTTTTTGAAAAAATTATTTATATTTTAAAAAGAAACTTTAAAAATAAATATGTAATAGAGATTAAAAGTTAAAAATTTAGAGTTTGAAGATTCATATAATATTTATAGCTCATGAGCCATCTTTATATATATATAAAAAAATTAAAGTATAATTTTATCTTGATTGCATTAATGAAAGATAAATATTACCAATATATATATTAATAGGATGAAAATATAAAAGGTTCTTAGAAAATTTTTATACACTATATTTTACATAATATTAATTTCAATGAAAATATGATAAGCTTTTAGAGAAATTTTATAGGTTTAAAGTTATAAAAAGAAAAGGATTTAAAGTATAATTGAGCTCATAAAAACTAGATTTTTCTTCTAAGTTGAGCTATTGGGGTTGCTTTCTTAGGCTTAGTCTATAATGTTGAGCTATTTTTTAATGCTAAGTTATTCTCCGTACTAAGGATCTGATTATTTTTGTGTTTCAAAAATATTTTTTAAAAATTTAAATTTATTTTATTTTTTTTAAATTAATATTTTTTTGGTGTTTTTAGATCATTTTGATGCGCTAATATCAAAAATATTTTTTTAAAAATAAAAAAAATTATTTGATATATTTTCAAATAAAAAATACTTAGCAAAACAATCACAATCACACTTCCAAACATATTCCAGCCTGCCCATGAGATTCTGTTTTTTTTCTTGTACTGAGCCCTTAAAGGCTGCTGAATTTTTTTCCAAGATTAATATTAGAATACTAGCATACAAATCCAACAAGATAAAAAGCAAAAAATATGATAAAATGAGAAATGAGACACACAAGAATTTACATAATTAATCAAATTAAGTTACGTCTAAAGAAAAGTATAAAAGGATTGTGTGAATTATAATATTTCTTAAATAAAAGAAGATCAATTAAGAATCTCTCTATTATTAGAAGAAAACACTTCACTTATTTTCTCACAAATACCTCATAACTTTATATGATTATTCTCTTTTCATTCTCCTATTCTTTTCTTTATTTTGATGTGTATTTAAAGTTTAGATACATTGCTTAGTTATAGACAAGAGTGAGGGGATAAAAACTATAAATAATAGTACCAATTATACCACAAATTATATCAACAACTCATTTTCATTCATATTTTATAAATTATGTCAAGAACTCATGTCTCATTTATGTTTGTATTGTATGACAATTCATCTTTCAGCAATTATATGAATTTAATTAAATGGCTTTACAACTGAGTCTGTTGAGGCTGAATCCAGACAGCTTACCTGAAACTATGAGGTTTTAAACTCTTAAAGAAGGTTTTTTAGAAAGTGAAATTTGAATTCATAGACTAGATACATAAATTGGTCATTCCCGGAAAATATGCTCTTGGCACCACGAAAACATTTGTGAAGAATATCGAGACACAAAGTTCCACTCCATGCAAATGTACTTTCCCGAGATAGCCCACCATCTCTTCATCCTTGCCTTGCCTGAACTCTCGATCTATCGTTAATAAATTCATTTACAGGATATGTTAACTGGTTATTATTCTTTACTCCATGAGATCTGGGAGTCTAATTCTTTTTTTATTATTATAAAATCTTGGCTTTTGAAAATGATGTTATATAGATATATGTCCCATGGTTGAGTTTTAAATAGAATATAATAGTTTATTTACCAACGCTAAGTTAAGTTTAAAAAAAATAAAATAAAAACATCTAAATTATAAAAAATTATTTGATATTTTTATCGAACTTAAATAATCTTGAAAAGCTCCTCACAAACTCTTTGTCTAGTTTATATTTTAAATTAAATTACATGCAAGTTGTTTTAGTATAATGTAGTTTGTTGACTAATGAAAAAAATATTAAAACAATTTTTCAAAAAATAAATAAGGATAAGATCCAGGCGAAAAAATAATGAAATAAAAAAATAGAAAAATTAAGTGGCTGAATTAAAAAGAAAAAGGATGACGAGCAATGATGCGACAAAAAATAATTCTAATTTTTTAATTCCTCATAATTTGAAAAATATATACTTTTCGACTACAACTTGCTTTAAGATTCTAATCCTATAAAAGCTAATTTATCATCCAAACTGAACCTCCAATAGTAATTTTTTTCTCCTGCAAGAGCAGAACTTCGAGAGGAAAGCATGTGGCTGGATTTGGATTGATCTTCGAGGGATATGATTCTGCAGCTCTTTTTTAATTCGTGACTGGTGATTACTATACTGTAGGTCTACGGAAGATCTCTCCATGTATATTCAACTCACACCCTCCGGCCAATCGGCCCGGGGGCTTTTTACAGTTTGAGCAATAGTTTAAAACGCCCAGTACAATATTTCTGTTCAGAAGAAAAGAAAAGAAAGAAAAGCAGAGAAGACTAGAACAATTTGAGCTAGCTCTGTATACGGATTTCATATTCGAGCATCAGGAAATCATGAGCTAGCTCTGTATACGGATTTCATAGTCGAGCATCAGGAAATCAAAAACACTCTCTTGGAGGAACAGGAAAAAAAAATGGAGGGTGAAATTCGCAACTTCCTGAAGGTATGGCTCTCTATCTTTTTTTGTTTATGCTGCTGCTATGCCATTGGTAAGGCAATACCAAAAGGCAAAACAAGATTCCTATTCCTAATCCCATTTGTGTGCCTCTTTTTCTACCTTCCTCTTAGTCTGTCCACCATATTTCTTGGGGGCAACACAGCGTTTTACATTGCTTGGCTTGGAAATTTCAAGCTCTTACTCTTTGCTTGCGGTAAGGGCCCTCTATCTTCACAATATTCATCAAGGTCTCTCTTAACTTTTGTTTCTGTTGCTTGTTTGCCCATCAAGATCCAAGAAAACCCACCTCCAAAATCACAAAACCAAGAAAACCAACCTCCTGTAATACCTACAGATCAAACCCACAAATCTTCGTTGAACTATGCAATAAAAGGTGTGCTTTGGGCATTTCTGGTAGTTGTCCATGATTATAATGAATACATCCATCCAAAAATCATCTTGTGTCTTCTATGTCTCCATTTATACATCTTCCTCGACGTTGTCCTAGCCTTGGTTGCAGTCTTGGCTCGAAACATCCTAGGACTAGAGCTAGAGCCACAATTCAACGAGCCACACCTCTCTACATCTCTACAAGACTTCTGGGGCAAACGATGGAACCTCATGGTTAGTAGTATCCTCCGCCAGACCGTCTACGATCCCACCCGCAACATTAGCACACGCGTCGTCGGTCGCAGGTGGTCCCCAATCCCCGCTGTTTTGGCGACGTTCTTGTTATCAGCCGTTATGCACGAGGTCATGTTTTATTACCTGCTTCGCGTGAAACCGACATGGGAGGTCACATGGTTCTTTCTTCTACATGGATTTTGTGTAACAGTTGAAATTGCAATAAAGAAAGCGTTAAAGGGCAGGTGGCAATTGCCGAGGCTGATCTCAGGGCTCTTCACCATAGGATTCGTCATGGTCACTAGCTGTTGGCTGTTCTTTCCTAAGCCGCTCCAGTGCAGGGCGGATGTCAGGGCGTTTGAAGAATATGCGGCGCTAAGAGCTTTGGGGAGGGATTGCTCTCATGCTCTATTTGGACGCCCTTCCATCACCAAAAGCTATTAGCAAATTAACTAGGCCAATACAGGGAAGGAGAATGCTACGTATAGTTCTGTAAGTCCATGATGAGGAAACTCATGTGATAGATAAATAAAGCGATGCCCACAATCATTCTGAAAAACAAAATGGGTTTTACTTCATAAAAATTGTATTCCAGTTCTGTTGCTTGATGCACACTCCTGTTTGTAAGAAAAAGGAATTTCTTCAATATATATATATATTTGTAATATATATATATATATATATATGGAAGTACATGAATGTATTGATTTGATTGAATGCCAGTGCTACTTGCTTTATCGTTATTTTTCTTCTTAAAAATATATTTAAATAATATTTTTTTTTATCTTTTAATATCAATACATCAAACCAATTTAAAAATTTAAAAAGTAATTTTTTTTAAATAAAAAATTTACAAAACTATAAGTCAATCATAACAATAACCATTATCATCAACTCGAGAGAAACATCAACTGAAAATTAAATTACTTTGATTTATACTCCAACTAATTACATAAGAATGAAAAAAAATAAAAATTGTATATACTCTCGCTAGTAGCTTATTATGCAAAAATAATTTTTTTTTTTACAGATTTATCAATTATTTTGCAATGGATTATATGATATTTCTCATGTATTCACATGGAGTCCATTGGTAAATGAAGCGGTTTCTTTTTTACCATGGCTGCTGAAAAAAGGCGGAAACTGGTTATTAACAATTAAAGAGGAGTTGTGTTCCTGAAAGAAAAAAAGTGGCATGCTTCGTAAAAACCTGAAATAAGTTGAAGATCAAGTTGATATTATGTTCTAATTTTATTTTAATAAAAAAAAAAACGATTTGGCCACAAGATGTTTTTGTCGATACTAAATCGTGCAGCTTCTGTTTGCTTGATGCTTTTCCAATGGAACTGTTGCTGGTGTTACTTTTCCGTCAATCTACTTCACGAAACTTGCGAAGGTTAATATCACCAGAGGAAGAAAATGTTGAAAAGTCCATTATTTCTATTGATTCGAAGAAAATCATTATAGTAAACATGAATAACAGCTGAAATACAAGATAATGTGGACGTACACTATGATTCTACAATTTTTACATCTAATGCTACAATGTATCAGACAAGTATGGTTGCATACAAGAAGGAAAAATCGTGTTGAATTTACATCATGTTCTAGGGCAGGTGGCTATGGTGTCAGGATTCGGCTGGTAGTTTCCTTGAATTGAGATTTAATGTAAGAGCTAAAGCTATTCCAAATAGAAAACTTGGATCCAAAGAACCGAACAATAACTGATTTTCTTGATCCTTCTCTCACAAATTCCACGTCCCTGGCAATGCTATTCTTGACAACTTCTGCATCCTCATGTAATGGTAGGGCAACTGAACCATGGGATTCCAGGTTTTTAATCCACCCACGAAGCAAGTAATTCACAGCCTGTTGTAACACAAAGAGTCAGCTGTCTTTGGAAGCAATAAAAAGTAGGTATATCAAGGCCTGGAAAGATTATCCATTTCACAGCCTACGCGGAACACATCAATTAAATCATACCCAGGACAGCAATACCACAAATATCTGGAACTCCTATGCAACATGAACCACTTCCCAAAAAAAATTGGCGATTCCACGATGCCTTGAGAATTCATTCAATCGATGCCTTGAGAATTCATTCTTTACTAACAGAATGGTTCATTGATTAATCCTAGAAAACCTAGTTTAGGTGGGTGGGGAAATAAAATTTGAGACCACTGCAGGGATGCCAAAGAATCTACAGTATTCTCATGCTCTTTCTACCTCCACACGAGTGGAACTGGAGTTTTGATTATATCTAAGTACCGATGTCTTGTACAGGTTAAAGGTCATCTTCTCTTGTAATTGCACGCAGCAGCTATATGCAGAAGTTACAAGTAGTTATGGCAAGATTCTTGTAAATTACATCCGTTGAGCTGGTATAGCCATTGAAGTTTCAACAATTATTCAAGTTTTCTACTTCCCATAAGATTAACATACTTATTTCCGGATCAATCATCACAGCCTTTTCTTAAAAAACAGGTATTCTTTACCCGAACAAATAAAAGCCTGAACACCACCTTCAAAGCATGAACTATGAGATAGGCAATAGAAAGTGCCATTAGACAACTAAGCGATGAGCTACATACCTCAGGAACTTCATCATGGGGACAGTGACCAGCTGGGCTGATCTCATAATACAGAGCTTCTGGCACCTGCTGTTTCACCTGTAGGCCCCAGATAGGCTTCACCCAGGGGTCCTCCTTTCCATACACGAGACAAATGGGAATATCGCTCATTTTACACCTAGAAACACAAATAAGCTATGAGCCCTTCAGTTCAAGCAAGAAAAAAAGAAGGGAATGAGTGACTAGTCAAGAAATGTTAAGAGCTATTAAGTGCTTGCCTGGCTAAAGTCTCCCTGAAGGATAGCTGTCCCTGAGGAGCAAACATTATTGAGGCAAATGATGCAGCAGCAGCAGGATGTTGTGTAATATCAAGAATACGAGAAAACACTTTGTCAATATTTGTAGAATGATCTGTGTAAACCTGTTTAAGTATCTCCGCAATACTTTTAGGATCACTTATTTTCTGCCAACTGGGAAAGAAATTAATAACATTAGTAAGTTGGAGAAGGTTGATGGATAACAATAACTGTACCCAGATGGTAGAGGCAGTAGGAATTAGATTCAAGCAATAATGGTTTTGAAGAGATAAATGCAACGACTTATTTCATGAGACATGCATGTTAAACAGAACAAGCAACTACATGAAGCCGCCCCCAACAAAAAATATATTGTTTTCACAATTTATGCAGAGCCTTGGTGAGACTCTTTATAAGTTTCACCAACAACATGATACCCATGTATTATATATAGATTGGCCCGTGAATTCTCTGGATCCCAAGTGTATGGGTACACAAACTAAATTGTATACACACACAGTAAAAAGAAAAACTTACAAGAATTCTATGAGCTTTCTAACATTTGCAGGTAGAGGAAATGTGCCAGACCATGGAAACATCCTTGCTAATCTTGGAGATCTTATTGGATTAGGTAGAAACCCCCAAAACGGCGTTGCATTTAGCAATGTAACACCTTTCACTAAATGAGGGTATCTTGCTGCGAAGTATAATGCAACAAATCCTCCCAGCGAGTTCCCTACAATATATACTGGTTCACCAATTACCTGTAACATAAATGATTAATGTAATCTGTGCCTTTATGAGCTATCACGATGCATCTCTTACATAAATGGCCATGTTGTCACAAATACACAATCTTAATGACACCTCTTGTGAATTTGAACGCCCATGTAGAATGCAAGAAAAAAGTAGGAAACAAGGATTGGTGTCCATCTCATTATGAATCAATCTTCAAGAATCTATGTGAATTGTGCAATATGAGAAGAACTAATTGGATGGCAAGCATAAAGCTATGGTCTTGAAGCACAAAGATATGAAATCAATGTATAGAGTTGAGGAGAAAAGGTATTCTAGAAGCACTAAAGTGTGGAGTTAGAGAAGTACAAAAGGTACGTAAAAATGGAGTTGAATTGTTTTTAAGAAGGATTTATGTGAATTGATAGGTCAAAAGATGAAAAAGAATAGCTGCTTTCCTGAGTGAAAAAAAAAAAAAAAGAAGAGACAAGACCAGACAAAATTAGATAAAGAAGCACTTTATGCAATGTAGAGGTGTGACAAGGTTGAAAAGGCATGGAAAAAAAAAATCATAGTAATTGCAGATCAGAAATAGAGTAACTGAGTTTATTTCTCACTTTGGAAAAGCACTAGGAAAAATGTTACCAAAATGGAAAATCGGATGAAGGAGACATGATCAATGCAGAATAATCCTTCACGTGAGCTTAACCATACCAAATCCTACAGAAAGTGCATGAATGCACAACAACGGAAAACGAAGGCAATGTATATTATTGTAGATATCCATATACAATATGCATGTATATGTGTCTCAGCCATCTTTCGTTATTGCAGATTGGAACAGAGACGACATGGAAGGATGTTTGACTACCTCTTCTATGAAATTGTGAACTTGGTCCTGCCATAAATCCATAGAGAAAACAAGGTCATTCGCCCATGGTTCAATCTCATCTCCAAACCCCCAAATGGAATCCTTCCCTTCTGAGGCAGCCCCATCCTTTGAGAACAGAGTGGGATTCTCAACTGGCAATGACATTCCCTGCCCAAGAAAATCAATCGCCCATACTCTGTAGTCACGACCCAAATCCTTCAATTGCTTCTCGTAATGAAAGGAACCAACACCAAATCCAGGAAGAAACAACACTGGTGGAGAATTCACATTTTCACAACCAGCTTTCTCATAATGCACATTAAGTTTAGGCTTCCATTTCCAAAAACAACTGCTTATGGGAGCACTATATTCACCATTGGATTCATCTGGCAATCCCGGAATCAAAACCCTAGTCGGAGATTCTCCATTTTCTGTAATACTCCCCACGTCATCCTCTCCACCAACCACATAACTACTAGAATTTCCACTGAAGACCTTTGAATTACCATTCTTTAACCCTCCAAATGAGTCAAGTGACCTAGAACCAAATGAGTCAAGTGACCTAGAACCTTTCCCATGATTGAGTTTTTTCAAGAATTTATCAACACTAGAAAACCTCAGTGACCCATTTCTTTGATTAGTCCTAGCAAACAGAATTTTGCGTTCTCTACTAGTAGGGAGCTTTAACTGGGAAGAATTTGATCCATTTTCAGCTAGTTTCCACCTCAAATTTACAACAAGACAACAAGATGCGGTACTGGAAGTAAGAATCTCCATGCCCCAGAAAGGTTGATCTGCAGTGATCAGTTAAATCATATTGATAAGCAAATACGGAGCTTACCTTCTGTGTAGTTGAAAATAGAACTCCATAAAAATAAGAAAAAAAGCTAAAATCATCATGTTTCTATACTATTATAGTTTTCAGATGTTTAAGAAATCATGACAAATACTACTTCTCATGGTCTTTACTTCTTTTCTCGAATAAATAAGCGGAAAGCTATTAAAGTTTCTTTATTTTCTTTTCTTTCCCATCATTTCCAAGCTACCAAACAAAGCTCAAAGCAAGAAAACCAAACTAACATAAACAGAACTTGATAGAAACATATCTAAGCAGCTCTGTAACAGAAAACCCATACCTCATGAGCTCATGTAAATCTATAT